TGTGCGCAGTGCCGCCACTCGTGGCACGATGTCCGGGTCGTGTCAGGAATACAGTCCCCGCCACACCGACAAGCGCCTCTCATACGGTGTACGCGCCTTCTTTTCTTCTGGGCATCCCTCCAGTACGGTCACCTGACTGCAGTAAAAAAGTTCACGTGCCAGATTGGGCTGTCCTCCTGCGGGAGGGATCGTGCAATGACTTCGTCGTCGGCGGCCTCATTGCGTGGGATACCGCAGTGCGATGGAGAGAACATGAAGTTTACAGAGCGACCTCGCTGTATCAAGGAGAGCAGCACAATCCAACTCTTCAGTGACGTAGTCTCGCATGGCCAGTGGAACGACGCGGAGTGCCTCAGTTCTTGACGGGGAGTCCGTTGCCACCAGTATTCGTGTGGGCGATTGGGATGTTTCCCAGACAAAAGGTATGAGATGTCTAATGCCATTTTCAGTGGCAAGGCACTCTGCTCTATATGAGAATGCGAGCCTGCCAGCTGCTGCACGATGGACCTCCACAGGGAGATCATTTGTCGTGGTGGAGCCGTACAATAGTGCAGCGGATCCAGATGCGAGCTCAGCGAGAGAGGAAGAAACGTCCGTCCATAATTCAAAATCATACGCTCCCAGAGAGGAGTAAATAGAATCAAAAGCCGTGCGCTTGACGTCGTCAGAGGCGTCTTGGGCAAAGCGTGGCTGATAAATTCCACTTTATTGCAGATCGCACAGTGTCCCAGGGGAAAATTCGATGTTGAATAGGAGGGGCACGATTGTGGCTGTGGGGTATCCCAATAATATTAAATACGCGGCGTAATCCATTAATAACAGCATCTCTCGGGAGCGAGATTGATGTCGCCAATTTATTATGCATAGACGGCGGGATAGATTGCGAGTAGATAGAGGAACGCAAATTCTCGTGATCATGGAGGCGTGCATGGCGTTCGTGTTGTGTGGTTTCACGGAAACCAATGTTCCTCCGCAGCGGTGCTGGATTGGCGGTCGGGTGGACAGAAGTAACCTTCTTAGGTACGCTGATGCCAAGGTGTGTTTTACGGCTGTTGCGTTACAGTACTTCCATATTATGGAGGTAAGTGGGGACAAGCATGGGAGAATTGACACGTCACAATGCAGTGACACACCATGGACGTATCTAATCAAAAAGGATTGCATGGTGTGATGGGACGCCCCAGTTTGTGCGACCAGCCGCAGCTGATAGCAGCGTAGCATGGACTGCTTTGCAGCGGTAGAAGCGTGCGGACCAAAATTAAGAAGGCGATTAATCGTTGTGTCCAGCAAGCGCACCGAGCGTGACTGAATGCGTAGGTTCCCGCTAACAAGATGGAGATCGACAATTTCCTCGTCAGACCGTGTGTGTGTTAAGAGATGTAGAATAGAGCAGCTCCGCTCCTATCGGCGTTAATATTCAGGCTGTGCTCGGCAGCCCATGTCGTTGCAGGGGACACGGCAGTTGGCATTGCCGCAGCACAGGCATGGATGTCCGCACCTGAGGCAGCAAGCGTGCGGCCGTCAGCGTGAATGAACGTCGACGCAAAGTGAACGCTGTACAGGCAGCGCAACAGACCATCCACGCGGTGGAGTAGGAGCTGCGGTCCAAGGAAGCTGCATTGGGCTGCCACGGCTGAGGCAAGCCGCTGTCAGGGACATTGTTGGCGAGCACACACCCAAATGCAGCTGCCTCGCAGGTGATTGCGCCACCAGCGTTGGGAGCGACGACCCGGGTGCGGTAGCCCGTCGAGCACGGCCAGCACTCGCCCATCGTCCGCGGTGTCGAACGCAGTCGAGATGCCGATCGGGACGGCGAGAGAGCGGTGACGGCGACGGTGCAGCGCGGGACGCCCCTGCGACGCTCGCACTCCACGCTAATGCGCTCGCTCGGCACTCGTGACGTTTTTTCACTCACAGGCGGCGGTGGACCAGTCCTTCGCTCACCCCTAGCAGGGCAGAGAGCAGCGGGATGGGCCGGCAACTCTCTCCGTGCGGCGTGTGTCCTTCCCGTGTCTGTGGAAGCGAGTGTTGTTCCCCGTTTCCCAGGAACCTCGCAGGCTGCCGTCAGCGAGGGAGGTGTTGATCATCGTTCTGTGCAAGCAGCGGTGCAAGATGGCGCAGAAACACATTCAATACGCCGACGGGTCCAGGGGCCACGCCACGCAAACAGTCGCGGATGGCCGAGTCAGGTGCACACGGCGTGAAGGGCCAATTCATACCTCAGTCACCAGAGGGCACGCAAGCACAAGGTGTGCGGACAACGGTGGGGATCGCAGCAAGTGCGACGCGGACAGTGTGACGGACGAGCGGGTGTGCCTGCTGCAGAGGCAGAGCACAGACACGGTCCCAAGAGCACCGCAGCACAGCCGATCCCAGAGGGCAGGGACGTGGTGCCGCCATGCTTCGGAGCATCACAGGCTTGGGCTCGAGAGAGTACCAAGCTGTTTCGCACGGGCCTCTGGCAGCATGGAGAAAACACGGCGAGGGGTATGATTGCGTTCCTCCCATTTTCGGAAAGCCTCAGCTCGGGGCAGGCTGCCGCTGCAACGCACTCGGCCTGCTCCATTCCGTCCGTCGTGATTCCTCTGGTCTGTCACGGCTGCCGCGCGGTACGGTGCCTCGATGCATCTCCAACCATGTGGTCACAGAGGCCAGAGGTGTTACACACGCCGTGGTGGAAGAATCACAGTCAGCTTCACGCAGGACAAGGGCGGCATGTTTCCGTCGTGGCCGCATGCCTGCCTGTCGTGGGATGCCGTCGTCCGTCCCTGCAGTGTGGGATTGCAGATGTTGGTCCGAGTCCATGTAAACTGGTGGACGTACAATGGAAGACACGCAGTACGCGTTGCGCATTCAAATTGGGAAACGAGATGCAGCGGCCGCTGATCCGAGTTGCCTGTGCCGGGTCGTCAGAAAGCTCACACTCCATGCCGCTTGGGGTGGTGGCGAGGTCCTCTCCCGCCGTCGTGGATG